CTTGATCTGGAGGAGGTGGGAATGGGGGGTGTGCTGGGGGGAAGGGGAGGGGGGCAGGAAGGGAGAGAACAAGGGAATCTGTGGCTATTATGTAGAACTGAATAGTATTGTAAAATAAATAAAAAAATATGATTAAAAAAAACCCAAAAAACTCCAAAATGGCCTACTGTGCAGAGCCTAGGTTAATGGCAAGCTTCCCAGAGACCCATAGTAATGTTTTGCCAGCAAAGATCCATGTCATTAGGTTTGGCTTGTAAGTCCTAGAAGAACTTTAATTAATTAATCAATTTGTCTGTGTGGGTACATGTATGTGTATACATGTATAGGTGTATAGGTGTATGTGCATGTGTGTACACATGTATGTGATCGTCAGAGGACAACCTTGGCTGTCATTCTTCAGGAGTCATCCATCTTGTTTATTGAGACAGGGCTTCTTGCTAGTCTGAGCTTGCTGCTAAATAAGTCTCAGGAATTTTCCCCTCTGCCTCCCCAGTGTTGGTATTACAAGCACATGCTACTACTCTAAGTTTTTTTTAAGTGGGTTCTGGGAACTGAACTCAGGTCCTCTTGTGAGCACTTTACCAACTGACCTAATCTCCCTAAGCATGCTAGAGAAATATTGGGTGGTAATTCTTTTATTTAATGCTTTAACTCAATGTGAAGGCCCACAGAGGTTTCCTAGTAAGATCTGAGCTTGCTTTACCCAGCAGGGCTCCATTAAGAGATGGCTTGACACGTGCATGGTTAACAGGTGATTGGAAGGGTCTGCACTTGGCTGAACTAGGGGGAGGTCTTTTGCCCCACCCCTTGGCATTCCTATAAAATGCCCTTTAGAAGAGACAGAAGGGGCCGGTGGATGTTGACCCAGACCCTCCGGAGGTTATTCTGTGTTTCTGTCAGTTTCTCTCCCCTCTATCTTTCTATCTAAACATTTCTCACCCCTCTCTCCTCAAGAGTCCCCTGGGGGAAAAGTAGGAGTGAGTCTCCCACAACTCAGCATTGTAAATGTTTTATTTTAGAAGTGTGAGGAGAGGAACTTAGATATCTGACCTGTCTAACCGTTTATTTATTTATTTTAAGACTTGCATATAACCTTATAGAAGAAAATAATAGGGTTGCAAAATACATTGGAGATTATGTCTTCATAATAGAGTCAACCAACAAAATAGAACATTTCTGGAGCTAATAGCTGCATCTTCAATCCTCTCAAAACTTACTCCCAACACTCATTTTTAAAATACCCATTTCTGAGCTGGGTGGTGGTGGTGCGCGCCTTTAATCCCAGCACTCGGGAGGCAGAGCCAGGTGAATCTCTGTGAGTTTGAGGCCAGCCTGGTCTACAGAGAGAGATCCAGGACAGGCACCAAAACTACACAGAGAAACCTTGTCTCATAAAACAAAACAAATCAGAAAACAAAGCCCATGTCTACACTCCATGGAATAACACAACTTAGACTTACAAATAATCTAGACCACACATATTTCAGTTTTATATTAAAGTTCTTGCTTAAGTATGGAAGAGTATGAACACTTCTGGGACAGGGGTTAGAAGGGAGGGAATTCTTACCGCAGTGGGTTTACACTGAAGGTGATTTTAATGAAGCAGACATAAATTCTGCCTTGGGTATTAGCAAGAAGCCACTGGCTGGTTGTATATTTATCATCTTTATCTGGGGAGTAAAATGATGAAGGGAAGCTAGAGCTGTCACAAAGGAGCCAGAAAAGGAAGATGTCATACTAGCCTGTGTCTTTTCTGTCCCCAACCTGGTCTCTGAATGACTCCCTCTTCCTCTCTTTTCCTTTGTAGGTGTTTTGCATATGTATGTGTGTTCTTGTGTATGCAGCACACACATTCAAGGCATACACACACGTGCCTGTGCATGGAGACCAGGCACAGGCCAGGCCAATACTTGCTGTATTGTTTTCCACTTTAATTTTTGAGGCAGGGTCTCTGACTGAACCTGAAGTTCACCAAGTCAACAAGCTCCAGGGCTGTGCCGATCTCTGCTTCTCCAGTGCTGGGATTAGAGGCACACGTGCTACCACACCCAGTTTTTCATGTGGGTGCCTTGAATTCACGCTCAGGTCCTCATGCTTGCAGATTGCGAGCACTTTACCCACTTCATCATCTCCCCAACCCTCTGACTGCTTTGGTCGAATATTGTTTATATTCTACGGGTGTACATGTCCAGTTGCTACCTTAGACCCCTGACTAGTCAACAGGTTCGAGTCTCACTTTATGTAATATTAAATCACTGCTCACATGTTTACATTAAAATGGGCGTGTGAGCGCAGACATAACTGCCAAGTTGATCTATCAGTGCTCCCAGCATGTTAGGTGTTCCATAGCAATGAAGAATTTGTAAAAGGGAGCCCAGGGTCTTATTACTACAGAGTTGCTTGTTCTTGAGTTCTTAATGCTGTTTGGACCACAAGAAATAAAGAAGTTATCTCTGTTATCCATCCCATTCCTGTCACCTTTTGGAGCTTACTCACTGTTCATATCTTCTTCTTGGTTTCTGTAAGATTTCTTCGTTACAGTCTTCTGACTTTCTTGTGTAACCAGGCACAAGCTTTCCTCCACTCTCTTCCCTTCCTCCTCCCCATTCTCTCTGTCCTCTCTTCTTATCTTTTCCCTCTATTTCTCTCCCTCTCCTCTCCTCCCTCTTCTGTCTCTCTATCTCTGTCTTTCTTTCCTCTCATTCCCATCTGTGCCTGTCTGTCTGTCTGTCTATCTCTCATCACTTCCCCTTCTGTCTCTTTGTTTTCTTGCTCCTCCCATTCTGTCTCTCCCCTCCTCCCCCATCTCTCTCTCTCTCTCTTCTCTCCCAGACCCCCCATTTCTCTCTCTAGAGTGTGACTCAACCTCAAATGGTACTCTTCAGCTTTTTATCCATTATGCTTTCATTTCTGTTCCCTGACTTCCCATAAAACCACACACTTGCCGGGCGTTGGTGGCGCACGCCTTTAATCCCAGCACTCGGGAGGCAGAGGCAGGAGGATCTTTGTGAGTTCGAGGCCAGCCTGGTCTACAGAGCGAGATCCAGGAAAGGCGCAAAGCTATACAGAGAAACCCTGTCTCGAAAAGCAAAAAAACAAAAACAAAAAAAAACAAAAAAAAAAACAAACAAAAACAAACAAAAAAAAAAACCACACACTCTAAGGAACACTGAGCTCCCAGGAATTGCTGATTCAACAGTTTCTTCTCATCTCTTACCCTATTTGAACTTTCTTGTGTTTAGGTAACTTTTTGGTCCTTTTTTTCTGAAAACTGGTGTTTAGTGTACTTAACAGTACAGTATTCCACATCCTTCCTGGCAGTTTTATCTCTACCTAAATTCCCACCTATTTCCCACCTGCAATTCCATGTCTCAGAATATATGTGCTCCACTGGGGTTTGGCCTGGAGTCTCTTGCTTGTTTCTCAACAATTAGACTTTTCATCCTTGACTTTATCATCCCCTGAGCTGCACAAACTACAGTAGCTCTAGGCTTGCAATGTTTTCTGAGCTCTAGAATTCATTTTCACTTTCATCAATGGTCCATAGGCCCATGCGCTTAATGTAGAGTACAGAATTCACCTTATTCCTCCACTCTCATTGAAGGTGATCTGACTCTTAGTCTATGTCTTCTCTCATTTACTGCTTCACCCTCATCCTTCTGTTCAGCAAGTCCAGAGATCTAGAGAGTTACCTTTGGTCTTCTCTGCTCAGGCATCCCCTACCTCTAACCATTTGTCAAATCTTGGCAATTCATGCATTCATAGTATGTGTTCATAGATTCATTTCTGTTATTGCTGTTTCCATCACCATTGGAGCTCTTGTCAAGTTTTATTTTGTTTCAAATGACTTCATCTCCTTTTCTCCAGGTTCTTTCCTCTCTAACTCACTTGTCACACTTATTTCACAGTGGCTGATCATGTTGCTTTAATGGTCAGAATGACTAAATGTTGCTCCATAATTATTATTTAAAAAGGCCCATCTGAAAAGTCACTTTCTTTGTGAATATTCACCACTATGATAACTCACCCACACTTTTATGTTCCCATATTGTTCCCTATTTTCTTCCCATGGTTAATTTATTCTTTCTGTAATTATCATTATTTTGTTATTAATTTAGTTTGTCGATATTATGTAATCTTTTTGTTCCAGGTTTTGTATATGATATATACATATCAGTGTTTATAAAAATTCATTGATATTAGTCTTTTCTATGAAACCAAAATTTTGTCTTTAATCAAATCTTCAGTAAATGGATTTTTTTCTATCCATTGATTTGAGTGTGCTGTTAGATATTGTTGACATACCATAGTCATTTGCTTTTTAAAAGTTTAACAGTGAGTTTCATTTGTCATTAGTTTTCTTTTTCTAAGCCACCCTAGAGAACCCCAAGATGGCTCAATATAAGTACTTGCTAAGAATCCAGGGTACCAGAAATAGTGATTCTGTTGGTAGATGGATACTCACTTCATCTAATATCTCCTTAGTATGTGCTGATGAAAGGCAGAAGCGAGCCCGACCTTCTGTCAAGGCAGTGGCTGGAAATCCAACAACCACCACCCCGATTTTTTTCTTAAGCAAATACCTTCCAAAAGCACTTAGGGAAAGAAAAAAAAAGTTAACAGAGAAACGTTAGAATCATCCTGCCGGAAAAAAAAAAAAAGAATATGGTTAGTAGACTTCTTTTTAAAATGCTATAAAGGAAAGGATGATTAAATTTTCTCCCACACAACGGACCAGACCACGAAACAGAAAATTGCTTGCTGTTCCTCATAGCTGAGTGTGTGCTTTTATGGAACCTGACACACTGATTAGATAGTTGTCAGTAAGGAGCCTTTGATATCCAGCAGAGAATGCTGATGTCTGTGATGCTGATTAAAGAAGTTTGCACTGATAAGCACTCCTTGATCTGCAAAGTTCCTGGACTAGAAATCAAACAGCTAGTATGATACAATGACAAGAGAAATACTATTTATTATATGTAAACATATATGTTTTAAAAAATGAACTGCAGCATTAACTGTGGACATTTCAAGAAGGGAGACTTAGTGACTATAATTTGAAGAGCAGGATTTGAGGGCTTGCAGAATCCAAACTCCAGGAGTGAAGATTACAGTTACCTCAAATGAGAAGTAAGTAACGGCAAGGATCTCCTCATTTAAAATAATATTTATGAGTGAATACACACAGGTATGCACAAGAGGAATAACTCTTGCCTGACCTTGAGAGGAACCAGATAAGAGGTGAGCAAGGAGGTAAGAGACCCTCAAGGGCAGTTACAGCCTGTAGGATATCAGTCATCAGACTGACTACAAAGCTCTTGAGACAGGGAAACCTTATAAGCTCTCCCTTCTCTTCATCCTTCTGTTTTTTGTTTGTTCCAAAGTTAATCTCAGTAATGATGCCAGAATATTAAGCTCAAAGTCCAAATCACCTGTTCTAAGAGCCAAAGCCAGATTAAAAAGGCAAATACCCCCAAGGGAGTTCTTTTTCTCTTTGGGCTCTGTTGATCTCTGCAGGAAATCTTAATTGCTGAGTGGATCTACTCACAGGGAAGTCTAGGCCTCCGGTCTGTTCTTAGCCTTAAGAACTTGCTGCTATATTATGTTAGGCTGGAAGCTGACAGCAGCATAGAAACTTTCTAGCCATAATCCAGGAAAAAATTGACTGAACCAGACTGTCCACCCATTTATCCATCCATCTTGTTATTTAGCTGTATGCCTTTTGGTTGCCTCGTGCAGAATGCCTGCTATCAAACAAAGCAGTGAGACTGCAAAACCTACTGAACACACAACCCTTCTGGCCCCCTGGCTTGGGCAAGGCAAGATTCCCCCTTTGATTTCTGCTGAGAAGGTTACAAGGCGGCAAACTTTCTAGCTGAGAAAGTTTGAAAACAGGGGCTGTTCTTTCTGCCTTCTTGATCACCCTATGGAAGGCTGCCCACGGCACTGCACAGGATGAGAGCACAGAATTGTCTGAGAAACAAGTCAAGTGCTTTTATTGCTAGACTACAGACCACCTGACACATGAGCTCAGGCCAGTTTTCAGGGTTCCCAGAAGACCATTTCACTGTCAATATGTTTCCCTTTGTACCGACGGAAGTGAGTTTTGCCAAAGAATGTTGAGCAAAATGTATGACTGTTGGTTCATTACGAAAATCTGGGGCCTCCCTGGAACATTTCTGAATTTAAAACTTAGACTACTGTAGTGAATATAGATGATTGTATTTTATATAATGAGCCTCTGGGTATGTAACCCCCAAAGCATTTTAGAGCTGCTGCAGGCTAGAACTCAGTATGTGAAGCAATAATAATGATAATGATGATAAGCATTACCACTGCACTGGATGTAGCAATATGACATCTTGTGTACCAAAATCTCCCAAGTGCATGAAAAGGACAATGTAGGGGAAGTATAAACCTTGCACCACAAGATAATGTGACATATTCTTTAAATGTATGCTGTAAGTGTTACACCTATTCATTTTTTGTGTTTGTATATGAGCAGGCATGTGTGCCATGGCACATGTGTGGAGGTCAGAGGACATCTTTTTAGAGTTAATTTTCTTCTTTCACCATGGGGATTCCAGGGATTGAACTCAGGTTGTCAGGCTTGGCAGCAAGTGCCTTTACCTGCTCAGCTATCTTGTCAGCCTTATTTGCACATTACATGGCTAAAATTACATTGTACCGAGCACTACAGATGATAGTGCTGTTATAATATATTTAAACCTACACCTCGCTTGAGATTAATTTTGATCTCATATAGGTAGAAATAGGAAGAAATCTCAATTTTTAAGAATATCAAAGGCCTAAATTTTTTAAAATTTTACTTTGTGTTTATGTGTGCATGTGTTTGTGTATGCATATGTGTGTGTACATGCATGTGGAGGCAGGCATGGATGTCAGCTGCCTTCCCTTTATTTTGTTATGGTTTTTGACAACTTCATAGTAAGTACTGTATTTACACTATTTCCACCCTGCACTCCCTCCTCCAACTTCTCCCAAATCCTGCCCATTCCCTCTCAACTTCATTACCTCTTCATTTTAATTATTATTTGGAAGGAGTCTCTCACTGGACTGGGAGCTCATCAGTTTGGCCAAAAAGTCCCAAGGATCTGACTGTTATGATTACAGATGTGCACCTTGTGCTTTCGAATGGGTGCTGGGGATCTGGGAGGCATTTTACCAACTGTACTGTGTTTCTTCAGCCTCCTAACATCAAAAGTTTTAAGTGTGAAAATGACAAAAAATGTGCTTTCATAGCGGCTTATACAATTCACTCCCTGTTTCAAATGCTTCTTCATACATGACCCTTCAGTGGAAGAGACAACATAGAAGGAAACAAAGGCAGGCAGGTGAGCAAATCCTGCAAATAACTGTCACCACAAGTACATGCCGTTAGCTTTTCTATGTCACCTGCTCTGGGTTTCCTTAGATAACCTAAATAGGCATCTTTCTGTCATAGTGGCTGATGCATTTTGAATTGTCAAAGACAGCGTCCAAGATTTTTAAACCCATGGAGGGGGCAATAGAGGGGAGGGGATGGGGGATGAGAACATGAGGGAACAGGATGGTAGAGATGGGGGAGGGACTGAGTGGGAGAGCAAGGAAAGAGGTATCTTAATAGAGGGAGACATTATGGGGTAAGGGAGAAACCCGGTGCTAGGGAAATTCCCAGGAATCCACAAGGACAACCCCAGGTTAGACTACTAGCAATAGTAGAGAGGGTACCTGAACTGGCCTACCCTGGTAATCGGATTGGTGAGTACCCTGTCATCATAGTGCCTTCATCCAGTAACTGATGGAAGCAGATGCAGAGATCCACAGCCAAGCACCAGGCCAAGCTCCAGAAGTCCAGTCAAAGAGAGGGAAGAGGGAGTATATGAGCAAGGGGGACTAAGAATTTGATGGAGAAATCTACAGAGACAACTGAACCAAGCTCCTATGAACTCACGAACTTTAGACTGACAGCTGTGGAACCTGGATGGGACTGGACTAGGCCCCATGCTTATGGGAGACAGTTGTGTAGCTTGGTCTGGATAAAGGGCCCCTGGCAGTGAGATCAGGATCTATCCCTGGTGCATGAGCTGGCTTTCTGGAGCCTGTTGCCTATGGTGGGATGCCTTGTTCAGCCATGGTACAGGGGAGAGGTGCTTGGTCCTGCCTCAACAGAATGTATCAGGCTTTGCTGACTCCCCATGGGAGCCCTTACCCTTTTGGAGGAGGCCATGGGGGGAGTAGGTTGAGGAGGGGAAGGCTGGGGGTTGGGCAGAGCAGGAGGAGGGATGAGAGGGGGACCTGTGGTTGGTATGTAAAATGAATAAAAAAAATGTGTTAAAGAAAAAAAAAGATTTATAGCAAAAAAAAAAAAAAAAAAAAAAAAAAACTGTTCAACCCACACTCTGTATGGCTTTAATGAGATGTAGACCAAAGCTTGGAAGGCTGTACTGCAAGTTTCAGAGCTTCAGTCCATGGGCAGAGGAAAATGGCACTGAAATCTCAGCTTGCTGATTACAATGTGGGTGAACCTAAGAAGGTAATCTGACCTTTGACCTTTGTTCATCTCATAACCACATTTATAAACTGGAAGCAAGGGCCTCATCCACAGGGAGTGTCCAAAAAGGTCAAAAAGCCTTATTTAGAATATCACCAACATCAGCAACATTAGCTTCTTCTGAAGAACAATCTTAAGATGCAGGGAACCAGAATCTTAGGGCCCAAGATTGTGTCATTAATGCAGAGCAGCAGGTTATTTAGTACTTTTCTAGGAGTTCTGCTTTCATTAACTGTGATGATTATTTTGGGGAGCCATGCAACCATGGCAACTTAACTTTGTGTTCAGTTGAAACACTAATGAGGACAGCATAAGACAGTAGTAATAATAATGGCCAGCCATGTCAGGATGCTTACACTACATCAAGAGCTATATTAAGCTCTATAAATGCAATTAAAGTTATTAAAGCAGCAAATCCTGAGTAACTCTTACATGAAAAGCATCATTCCAGATGCCTCAGATCCCTTTTATTTTCTTTTTCTTCAGTGCTGGAGATTGGGCCCAGGGCTTTGTGTGTGTTGGGCAAATATTCTGTCACTGAATTAGTTCCCCTTCCCTTTATTTATTTAACCTTAGGAAGTGGGCACTATTTTATGTTATTTCATACAACATAAAAGCTTGTCTTTAGAAGGCTGGCTTGCTTGTCCAAGATTATCCAAGAAAGATGAGTCGAAACTCTGATTCTGAAATCTTTACTACAACATTAAGAATAATGGTTACATGAAGTATATCATATTAGTAAATTTGAAATGCGCTTGAAATTTGGGAATATTAGTACACTGTTGAGTAACTATGTATAACACTGACATAGTGTATATTCTAAAAGCTCAAAGAAAGTTTTTGAATATTTTCACCATGAGGAAATAATAAATGTTTGTGGAAATAGACCTTTTCCCCTGATTTAAACACTATATAAGTATATTCAGATATATGCATATATTCATGTATATATTATATGATACCCTATTAATTTGCATAATTTTTATATTTTTATGTATCCGTGTAAAAACAAATTTAATTAAAAAATTCTCTTTTTACTGTGAATGGGCTCCTTATTGGATTAGCCACTGTTTTAACTTGTTGAGATTCTAATTCTGGTCTCTATCTTCCTGCATACTCCTTATTGCTCTCATCCCACTGCCATGCATTGTTAACCTCAACAAGTTCATATGGAGTGCCTTCTTTTGAGCTAATGATAAAATATTAGGTAGACATGCTCTAAATTTGAAATCTTAGAGAACATTCTGTTTACCCAGTCATTTTGAATAAGTGCGTGTGTCCTTGTGTGACCTCAAAAATTAGAAGGTAGAGGGTTCAGATGAGTGGATATGTAGAATCTCCACTGTCATTCCCCTCCTGTCATTACACTGAGCAGAACGGTGTTGCATTCTTTCTCCTTGGACACTCGGTGCATTGTTACTTTGACCTACATTTGTGATTTAAACACTTGGCATGGAATGCTGATGGTGTAGCCTACCAAATAACTCACTCACGTGTGTGTTTCAATTGCTTGATATTTGGCTGTGGCAAAATGACATAAGGATATGTTTAGAGGAATTTTGAGAATTCCTCTTTGAGTATTTATGGCTCTCTTCTACTCTGGATGAGTTCTCAACAGTCTAGGCTCCAACTTCTTTTAATGGTATGTTTTTTTTGTTTTTGTTTTCTTTTTTATACAAATTATCTATCTATTCAAATGGATGGTCAAACAGAAAGCTCCAATACTGGGGTTATGTTTTAGAGGGATAGTCTTGGGTCAGAAGGCGTATCAAGACTACCTTGGCATAAATCATTTCCCCAAAATTTCCCCAAAACTGGATGTCTGAGGTCAGAACTCAAGAATCCCTCCAAGCACATAATCTAATTCATGCACAGAAAAACTTCATGGTGTCAAATATACCATCTCAGTCACGACACACTGGGCATTGGCATGATTATGAAGGTCACTGGATACTCACGATACTTTAGCAGGCATGTACAGGAGCACAGGGATAATGGGAGAGTAGTCATTGCCATAGATGATGAATCCCATTTCTATCAGCCGCTGTCGGAAGTATTTTATGTTTTTTGTAAGTTGCTGTATTCTCTGCAGACCTGAAAGGAGACAGGCATGGCACCCTTCAATCCCCATACGGAAGAGGGAAGTAAAGGTCAGGTTGATCTGGCAAACATTTTCTGTAGGTTCGCCTATCAGCCAGGAAGAGTTGGAAATAGGATGATCAGACACAAGTACTATGTTGTGCCTGGGAGACAAAATGGGAAAAGGGTGTGCTTAATGATGCAGGCAAGCTGCAGGACCAGTGGGAGCAGGTACCTCTTGTGTATATATTCCATGCCAAGTATTTAAATCACTAACTCAGGAGAAGGGAGTATAATAAGAAAGGTATGCGTACACGTACACACACACACACACACACACACACACACACACACACACACATCAGTTGTTGGTAGCATTATTTATCTAAATTGAACCAGCCCATTAAATTCCTAGACTAAGTCTCCAATCAAAGGGAAATTCACATAACTTCAATTTAAAGAAGTAGCATGCCATGGAGCAAGGATGGGGCCAGCTTCATTTGGTAGCAGTAGAGAGAGAGAGGGAGAAAAATTGGACGTCTGCTTTTCTCAGCCAGAAATGAAAGACAACTTTTGTTTAAAACAGGTCAGGCAAAACATGTGTGTCCATGTCAAAGATACTGATGCTTTAGTTCAGTTCAAAGATCATCCTCTGTCCAAAGCATGTGCCTCAGTCCTGTGGTCACATTCATAAGATGACAAAGAGAATTAAAGAGAAGAAAAAGTTCTGAGGAAATCTGCTTCCATCAGTCCTTCCTTTTAGTGGGTATAGGTGAACAAGTAAGGCAGAGTTAGGGGGGGGTTTGCTCAATGAGAATGAATAGGGTTCAATATTCTAGGTGTTCTAAATGTTAGCTCAGTGTTAGCATTTGGCAGAGGGTTGCTATCCAGCCAGAATGCACTGTAGTTGTGGCTGTCTCTAGCTGATTTCTATCCTGATTGGTCAGGTGCTCATTTAAATTGGACTGAGGTCATGCATTAGAAGTTATCCAACATTTTGAATATTACTCATGGGTGTTTGTAACTTGCCAAAGAACAAAAGTGAAAACTTCAGGGAACATGTTAGTTGTGGTCATCTTGGTCCTTGGAAAATGGTTGAGCTGTGGGGCATCCTTTGTTCAGCATTTTTTCCTCCTGTAGATAATAATATTTGAGTAAACTTGGTACATTTCACCTTTACTGCAATGACTGGGCCAACTGGAATAGTCTATCCTTCTGATTGTTGATTCAATGATGGAATAGAATTTGGGAATATCTGTCTTAGTCTCAGATCCACTGAAGAGGTGAAAGAATGGGAAGCTAGATCTTTGTCAACACATTGAGGTATCCTACCAAGAATGTTATTGACTCAGGTAAAATCCAAGGCAAAGATAGTGAGGGTCGAAAGTGAAACCCTTGCATCTAGCCATGGCTAGGCTAGGACATCATTTGGACTTTCTGTTGTATGAACCAGTAAATGATATTTTCTTCTACCTATGAGCAAATGTTTCCTGAGTGACAGGTGGCCACTACTTTGTTCAGATAGACTAAAGGATATAACAGTCTCAATAAATAACATGAAGAGAATGTTAATGAAATTTCTCAGTGGTTATAGGCACAAGTCTGATGGCCTTAGCTCAATCCCTGGATCCCACAAGGTGGCAGGAAAGAAATAATTCCTGAGTGTTGTCCTTTTATCACATGCTTGAACACACACACACACACACACACACACACACACACACACACACACACACAGGCACACACACACACACACACAGAGAGAGAGAGAGAGAGAGAGAGAAAGAGAGAGCGAGCGAGCAAGAGAGGTACAGAGAGAGACACACACAGAGAATTCAATAAATAAATATTAAAAATACAGCAGCAGCAGCAATTATTATAGTTCATATATATGTAATGTCATCATAGTTATAAGCAGGTACCATTTACTAACTTATTTATTATTACTTTATGATGACCATATCAAGGTAGGTACTGTAACCTTATGAAATACATGAGGGAAAACAAGTACTTACTATAAGTTTATATAATTTGTAACTATTTTAGCTAGAATTTAGCCCAGGAAATTGGGGTTTAGAATTTACTCTATTAACCTCTACAGTATTGTGTTCTGTCTAGATAATGAATATATGGTGACTATATTTTCTAATTTTTAATAAAAATTCTAATCTCTACAATTGCAACTGATCATAATTATGCCCATTTTTTTTGTAGTAGAGCAAGTGGAGAGGTTGAAGGCCTCATGCTGTAAGAAGTTGGACAGATATCAAGGATTAGAGTCCAAAGTCTGATAAAAGACCTTGTGAAGCCCCTTTACTCTGGCTGTGGGGCCTGTAGATATGTACATAAGAGTAAAGTGGACCAGTAGACTGTCTTCCTGAAGTCATTTGCTTATCTAGCCTTCTGGTATGTTGAGTAATAGGATCAGACATTTCCCAGACACATCAGATCTTCTTTCATTAATTTTCTTTGCTGATTAGTTCTAACGGGACTTAACATTCATTGCCTAATTGTGCCAGCTGTACATGCAGAGGAATAAAGATTACGCTGAGTAGAACCAAGAAGTGAAATGTTAAATGTTTCACTGGTTCATGCTTCTTGATGCTTTTTATTTTTTTGAGACAGAGTTTCTTTGTGTAACAGCCCTGGTTGTCCAGGAACTCACTCTGTAGACCAGGCTAGCCTCGAACTCACAGAAATCTGACTGTCTCTGCCTCCAGAGTGCTGGGATTAAAGGTGTGCACCACCACCGCCTGGCTCCCTGCTTCTTTCCTGTTATTGCTCCTTATCTAACTCCAGTCCTCAAGGAAGATCCTTTCCCAAATTTTTAGTTTCCGGTAAGCAGATTATGATACAGAAAACATCTGTTCCCTCATCCTGGACACAGATAATGGGTAAAGATTCCCTTGACCTAAGGAAGTTCATTTGAATATTGGTGAGGAAATCATGAGGTACTCCATCACAGGAGCTTTTATGAAGAGATGATAAATACTAATTAGGCCAACCATATCTTCTTGCTAGTAGAGTTTAGATATGAAAAACTTAAAACTAATGGCTGATAGAACAAAATTAGAAGAAAGGGGAGAAAAAGTTGTTAGCAGAGTCCATGAGATAGCGTGAACCATTGGTTAAGAGAGAAGCTGTGAAAAATAGACAAAGTTCAATTGGCGCCAATGAGGGGAGAAGATGCAAAACCAGAAATGGCTTACGGTCATGGGAAGGTAGGTGTGAAGTCAAGTCATCATATTAGATAGATGTAGATGACATAGATATAGATACACCCACAACTCTAATGACTATCAGGAAGGAAAGGTTATGTGGTGTTAGGACACTTCACACTGGGGAGACTAGAGCAAGTACAAGGTAGCCTGGCTCTAATGATGACCAGACTGGGATCTGAAGTGTGAGTAAGTTATTAGGTAGAAAAACAGCAGAGAACTCTGAGCAGCCAGTTAGAGAAAACAATGAAATGGTGTGATCTTGGGTAGCATAGCAGGGTGGTAGAGACCTAAGTGAGTTTTTATTGAGTGTGAGCCTGAGTAAGGGAAGATTGCCTAAAGTAGGACAGATGAGCCGGGCGTTGGTGGCGCACGCCTTTAATCCCAGCACTTGGGAGGCAGAGCCAGGCGGATCTCTGTGAGTTCGAGGCCAGCCTGGGCTACCAAGTGAGCTCCAGGAAAGGCGCAAAGCTACACAGAGAAACCCTGTCTCGAAAAACCAAAAAAAAAGAAAAAAAAGGAGGACAGATGAGTGTACAAGGATTGAAGAATCCAACATTTCAGTTGTGATGAGAGTGAACTTAAAAGGAAGAAGGAGAAGGAGGAGGAGAAGGAGAAGAGGAAGAAGAAGGAGGAGCAGGAAGAGGAGGAGAGGAAGGCAAAGAAGAAGAAAAAGGAGAAAGAGAGAGAGAAGGAGAAAGAGAACAAATGTGTGAGATGCAAAAATATAATATTTCTGGGATTTTTCAACATGGCAATCACTGATAACAACCTTTACTCTGGGATTCTTGGAGGGCCATTGGATTGAAAGAAATAGGGATTGTAAAAATGGTTTACTTTCATGTATATATCTTTCTCCCCCACACTCACTCATCCTTCAAAAACCAAAAGGAGCAACAATAAAACATGATTTTTCGGCTCTCCAATTCTAGATTCGTCAGTTGTAGGGGATCTGAAAATACTCAGGGCCATCTATATAAATTCTACTGTGTAGACACAGCCTCTTAAGTCATTTAAAAAAGAATTGTTTTATAACATGTGGAAATGTCTCTTGGAAACTTGTACGTGTACATGGAATAGCCTATTTGAAATATAAAACTAGAAATTATGAAGGATGATGTTTGTCTTAAAATTTTACCCAGACATTGGAACTCCATATTTAGGGAGATAAGAGCATAGAGTGGAGAGAATGGGTCAAAGGACTAGCAGAGGGCCCATAAGATGTGTTATGAAGGTGATTGTAAAGAAGGCATGGATACATATCCCAGCCACCCAAATGTATTCCATATGGCCTGTCCCCTTGTGTGCTCAGCTCTTTTGTTGATTGTTAGCTGCACGATGAACAGATGACTTCATCAGGCTGGGCCTGATGATTCCTAAATGTTCCCCCCTCAAAGACTAGGAGGATTTCCTGGTCTGGAAGTTCACAAATGATTTAAATTGCTTTTCCCAGTGGCATTATCTTTGCACTTACCTATAATGACTCATCTATCATTGGACAGCCGGGCTACTTAATTGGCCCCGTCTGTCTTCTCTTCCTTGATTAACTCAAGTAACTGGATCGTTAGCCAGTGCCACCACTTCACTACTTCTAGAACGTTTGAAAACTTAATAAAAGCAGATCAGAATTTTGGTTCTGAGGTTATGTGATTTGTAAGAACTGGATGCTTCATTCTTGTCCTGTCTTTCTTATCTTTGAACCAGTTACCAGCACATGATAAGCCATCATGGCACACTTCGTAGTCACCATGTTTCCTCATATAGGTCAACTATAAATGCCTTTGAGGTCTTTGGTGCTGGCCAAGATACAGCTCCTTTCAATTACTCTATTCTTCACTCTTTAAAGTTGGAAACATTTGCATTCTCCTGAAGGGCCCGGGGGCAAAGGGGGAATTTGTACATATAAAACGCTGCTCATCTAGACAGGATGTGGGTGATTGTACTAATTATGGTGTGCTTTGAGATCCGTGCTTGAAGAGGGCTTGGTAAAAGCAGAAGAAATATTTGGCAGGGTCCTTGTGCATAGGAATGGTTGCTGTTGAGACAGCACCCAGGCATTCTGGAGACTGGGCACTGTAGCCAGATCCTGTTGGAAAGGCGTAAAGCTGCTAATTACAGAGGTTCATACCCTTCTGCCACATATTCCAAAGAAGACAGAGAAGGCCCTAGTCAGCTAAAGAAATGAATGAGATGATTCTAACACAGGCTTCTAGAGAATTTACGGAATTGTTCATTTTGCTAAACTCTGGGCTGAGTGTTGTGAGGAAAAGAACAGGCTTTGGAGTTAAGTGGAATAGAATACCACCAAGCTGAACCTGGACATCTTTAGTCCTTAAAAAGAGCCTCACTGTTTTCTGCAAGATAAAAATAAGCTTATCTCAGGAAGATGGGGAGAAAGAAGAGCGTGAGTCAGGAGACCTGATCAGTACCACTCTGGGCATCCAGGACGTACTTGAGAGTTAATTCTCATTTTCCACTGTTTCCAGCAGCTTCAGGGTCACCTTGGCCGAAGAACCCCATGCTCAGGCTGCACCCAAGACCCACTGAATCATGGACTCTGGGGATGGGACTGGGCATGAATAAGGAGGCTTGGGTATCTCAGAACCTGGCACTATTGCAGTTCACCCATAAAGCTATGTGTGCTTGTGGTAGGAACCTGACTATTTGCTGACTGAGCTATACTCTATGGTTGTATTTGAAAATAAAAATGGAGGCTAGACAGCCACCTCTTATTTGATAGTATATCTAGGTAGTTACTGAATCCCCGGTTCCTTTTGTGGGGGTAACCTGCTTTCCTGGCAGTGACCTGATGCAAGGTGCTCACTCAACGTGGGATCAGCCCCGTCATCTGTCTCACTCCTTTCGGAGGGTAGACAGGGTTAGGGTTGAACCTATGCCTGCAAATGAGCTACGTGCTGCCATCTCCTCCTTTCAGACTTCCAGCCATGCCCGCTTGAGAGATGAGCTGGGTTAACAGAGGCCACGAATACTTTTAACCTTCCCTCCGATGCTGTTAAAACAAAAACAGCTGGGGCAGAGGAAGGCAAACAAATAAAACACAAAGCCACTTACTACAAAGCTTTGCAGTCCCCTAATAAAAACAACAGTCTGCAGTGTTTCCAGAAATATGCTTAGGACAACTCAGTCTCCCAGAGGACCAGAAGGAATAATGGATCATGCAAACTACCAAAGTGACCTGTTCCCCCCCCCCCCCCCCCCACACACACTTAGGTTTTTTGAGACAGGGTTTTTCCATATAGTTTTGGGGCCTGTCCTGGATCTCGCTCTCTAGACTAGGCTGGCCTCGAACTCACAGAGATTCACTTGGCTCTGCCTTCCAAGTGCTGAGATTAAAGGCGTGTGCCACCACTGCCTGGCAAAGTGACCTGTCCTAAAGGAGGAAAATTTCCTCCCCACCAAACCATTGGTATGCACAGAGGTGGAGTGGGGTGGGTGGGCAGGCATTTCCCTTTCTAGGATGGAGAAACAAGAGATGGTTTGATGGTCTCCTGGGCCAACACGGTGCCACTCTCAGTTTCTAACAGAGGAACATACACACACCCAGATGCCAACCGGTGACTTATTTTATCATTTCTCATGCTTAAAAATGGGCATGCGGGAATACACACTGCTTATACCCCCGTCTAAATTATTTAGCACAAAACTACTGTCAGAATACTGACTGGGCAATCTAACATTCCAGCTTGGGCAGTGTTACTTGAAAAATGAGGTCCTTGTCTCCAAAGATGGAAAGTATCTTTCTTTAAAACATTTCTCACCATTTAAGCAGTTGGTATTCCAGAAAAATTAGCCCATGGAAAATCAAATTGACATTAGAGAATGTCTACAGTAGTGTAAGCCTCTTCCCTTTCTCAGTCCCTGGCATTCCCCTGCCTGCTTCCCTGGGATGACCCAGAGTGGGGGGTTTGAGCAGACCTGGCAGTAAAGTTCCCATGTGGCAGCAGGAACCCAGTGTCTGTTATTTTTAAGTACTGGACACCAGACAGGACATTTTGTTTCCAAGACACTCAGGGGCAGAGAGATCTCAGCGAAGATCAAGAGGCTATGAGTGGTGAGAATCGTAAGAACCGCATTAGCAGTGACAGGCTTCCCAGTGGGGTGGAGACAGCAGCATTTGGAGCGGTTTGCTTAGAGAAGCACACATTTTTATAAGGCAGCGGAGCTCTCCCTTTTGATGTCAGGATTCCAAGGTTACGGCATGTTTTATAGCTACATACACATGTGCCAGGGGCTCTTTAGTCTGCTCAGCCATGGCCCCGGGGAATGTACACAGAGGGGCAGGCTGGACGTCAGGCTGGGCAGCTATCTGCATGGCCTGATCTCAAGGGCTCTGAGGAGCTACTACTACAAAGCTACTCAAACACTCAGAGGGATTTAACTCACCACGCAGGATGAGAAAGGTCATCTCCTGCACATTAACGAGGAACCAGAGAGTGATGTGTTGGAATCCTTTACAGATGTGGAAACTGAGGCTGGAGGATTCTGAAAGCATTGCCGAGATAACGTGGAAACTGGCTCTGCTTGTAAGATTATCAAAGCCTTCTGTTTGAAGACTTAGCTCGTTGGTGATGCACGAGTCCTACCATACAAGGCTCTACGCATTCTACACACAGAAGACTCTGACTACATACAGAAGCTGGGCCAGCTGCGGAGATGGAATTCTGGAGCTCTTTGAAAAGAAATGATCTAATGAAGGGCAGAAAGAAAATAGTATGCAGAGGGAATACATGCCATTAGACATGTGTCCATATCATTATGGTACTGTCTCATGAATATTGTTAATTGAATGGCTTAATTTGAATTGAAATGGAGAGTAGTATCTTAGCAAATCACTGATAGTAGAATTTTATATATTATAGGAAGGATGAGCTTCCCAGATCCCTTATGAATTAGTGATTTTTAAACAAAGGGGCACATCAAAGGTTTCTGGAATTATTAAAAATTGAGGGTAATAGGGACAAAAGTAAGGCAAATATCCTTTTACATGCAGAACCAATTTCTCCCCCCCAACCCCCGTACACACACACACACACACACACACACACACACACACACACACACACACACACACACAGAAATTAAACTCAGGCTGAGTTATCTAAGTTTAAAACCTTTGGTTTTCAGTGATTGCTCAGAAGTAGGCACTGATGGAGCCGAATCCTGATCCTTCCCCCATATGGAACCAGCAGCAGGCTCAAGCACCAGAGGACTGTGAACCCAATTTCTGGGGTTCACAATCAACTCCACCACCACGGGTTTGTATTTCCTTTCTCTGAAACTTGGGTTCTTCATCTGTAAGAAGTGGGAATAATGATGACAATGATGCACATTTCTTTCTAGTATGAGGATTAAATAATGATCACTTGGAGTGACACGCACACAAGAACTTCAATGTTGTAAAATTAAACAAAGATACATGTTTATACAACAGGCTCCAGTTTCTATTTCATTTAAAAAAAAAAAAAAGAACCCATGGTTTAAAAAGAGTAAAAACCCTTAGTTTGAGCTAAAACCTGGCTGCTTGACTCGGGTTTACTCCCAAGGGCTGTCCTCATGGCCAATGTCACTTTAGTCTATCAGGCTGTCCCTTTGTCCTTCTAGATCATTTTGCTGCCAGAGATTTGCTTCCATTATTTCCCCATCTCTCAGAATTGAGTGTTCCCTGGAATAATTTTTATCCTAAGTGTTCAGTTTGAAGCAGATTGTTACTGGGAATGTAACATTTGAAGTCATATATATATATACATAAATAATATATATTCAAACAAAAACACCTGAAAGCTCTAGAGATATCGACAAACAGTGACATTTTGATCCAGTGAACCCTTAAACTAAGGCCTTCTGAGAGAGACAGATTAAAGAGACGGCCTGGCTAGAAAGGAGACCCCTTTACAGTCTTTGAGGATGAAGGGGCTGCATGAGTTAGGAATGAGTGACCTTCACATGTTGAGAATGACTCTGGCAGCCATCCAGCAAGAAAATGGGGACCTCAGTTCTACAGCCCCAAACTGAATTCTGTCATATGCATCCTAGCCTGGGAGAGGAGCCTGAGTCATGAAAGGGTAGATGGTGGCGTCTTACTTCAGCCTCCTGGGGAACCCGAGAAGAGAACAGCCTCTGCCCCAATTCTCAACAAGGAAACTGATAATAAACGGGCATTGTTTTAAACTGCCACTTAAGGCAATTTGTTATGCAGAAACAGAAAGCTAATACATTCCTTGAAGCTCAAACACACACATGCTGGGCTTCGTTAGGCATGAATCCACCTGCTTAATCCTCCCCAGCTGTGGCTGGTGAGGTAGCTGGTTTTCTCAGCAAAATTCTCCAAAGCAGAGTGAGGCTGAGTAAGTTTTGCTGCACAGTTGAAAATGAGCCCACGGTGAAAGAGACAAAGGCCGGTGTGGAATACCAGCTCCTTGGCACTCTAGAAGATGAGACAGATAGAATTAGGTTCCTTCCTTCTCCAGTTGTACTGAACCAACGTGGAATTCCATGTGTGTTACATCACAATTCCCCTGTCTCTGTCTTTTCATTGAGAGCCTAAGAGGAAGAAACTTCAGCAGGGTTGATGGACGGAGGGGGCCACACAATCTTGGCTCCTGTATCATCTCAAAAACAAACAGTGTATGCTCTTGCTAGTGAGAGCTTGTGAGGACTCACAAATAAGTGCTGATTTCATTAGCCTGACATAAAATTCTATCACTAGCTAACTCCTAAGACAAAGCAAATGAAGAGGCACAAGGTCCTGGGAAAATTTGCCAGGCGTTTCTGTGTAATCGGGCAAACATCCCTTCCTATCCAAGAAGAGTTCGGGGTTTGGGCTAATTTTGTGTTCATTGGGCAAACTCAAGTTGCCTGCGTGTATCTGAGCAGCAATAAGGCAGGGAGGCAAATGCCCGCCACCTTGATTGCTGACCCCGACCTTCGGTCTGCTCACACAAAAAGACCAGGTAGAACTGCTCTACCCACCAGCACAGGTGATTAATCACGACAGAGGCAGGCCCTCAGTTGAAAGCCAGTGGAGCGTAGCACCTGACATCTGGTTTGTATTAGCTATTGCTGAAATGCCAGTGGCCTGAAACCATTTAGAAAACGCAGCTCTCCGTGCCCTCTGTTTCCTTACAGGCTTCTTTCTCTGTCTCCAGCTGGTAACCAAGTGGCAAATAAATTTAGGAAGCAGCAGCTAATTCCTCCCTCAACAATGCCAAGGGCCTTCAATGCCAGGACCCTCATACAGTGCATTTTCAGTGGAATTCTGTCAATACTCTTACGTTCATCAAGGGAATCTTAGAAGGACAGAACAAACATGTTGCTGAATTTGACTGGAAGAAAAAAAAACAACTGGTAGGAGGCCAGTTTTCTATTCACTGAGTTCTTTGCTGCAAGAGACAATGAGAAATGTGAGAAGACCTTTTTAAACTGTACTTAACGATGGGCGGTTTATCCCTTGGACCCTAGCTAGCCTTCTTTTGCTTCTCACTCTCTCTTTCTAACAGAAGGGACAGAGTTCTGAGTGAAGAATAAATTTCTAGACTAACACACCCAAGATGAGTTTGGTGATACCGATGAATATTCGTGCTTTCCAGCCAGCAGGCAGCTAGCACTGAAGACAAGCGTCTGATGACGGACGTTTGCACTGTATCTCATGACAAAAGCAAACAGTGAGGGACTCGATTCCCCTTGAGAGGTGGCGGCTGTCACCCAGTGTTCTCCCTCCTTTCCTTATCTCCATGCCCTAAATCTTTGCACTTAGACACTCTTGTTTTTAAACCGATCAAACTCAAGTGTAAAAATATGCGTGTCCTGTTCCAGAGACCAGAGCAAAGGTTGTAGGTCACAGCTGGAAGGGGCTGGTGCCACTTTCTCCAAGTCCACATTGGGTTAGGAGCCGGGTCAGTGCCTCACCTGCCAATCTCATGATAAACTTTCACAAGTGATCAGAATGAATGAAATAATCCAGACAAAAGGACTCTGAAATGAAACACAATTTTTTTTTCAGGGCAAATATATTCTAAGTATCCCCCACTCATTTTTTTCTTTTCTTTCTTTCCTCTGTAAAAGGTACATTTAAAAAAAAAGAGTTTCAAAAATAATGATGCTGCTTTGGCATTTTATTTAACATTTCTCTCAGTAATTGAACAAAGACCAGAAATTTAAGCTTTAGAAATTTTACAAAAGTCTCAGAATGAACTATTTGGCAGGAACTTGCCCACTTAACAGTAACAGTAGTAACAAATGGTTCTTAGAGCTTTTCAAAGAAGGCGAAATGCTTAGTGATGTGGATTAGGGTGTTTTCGTATGAACTCAATCTTGGACTGAACTATCCAGTTCCTTTTCTCTGGGCTCAGAATTCAGACTTCTCCTGTGTTTAGTCACTCAGTTAGCCAAGGGTTGGCTATGAACACAATATGAACATGGGAGGCTCCATCCCTGTTCAGATATTAGCTTCCTCTTAGTCTCTGGCCTCAAAAGAATTCAAGTACAGCTAAGTGGGAGTGGGGGCTGACTAAAAAAATAAATTCATCCAAGTTCAGATAATTAGCCCAAGTGGTCATGTTCTTAAGTTACAATTTATGATTTTTTATAGCAGTATCATTTTTTTTTTCTGTTTGATTATAGCCCTTAATTTTTGTTCAAAAAAGACTTTTTCTCTGTTCCTGCTTAAATTCCAGAGCTTTTTCTATTTCATGTCAATTTTAATTTCTGCTTTTGGTGAAACATTTTCCTCAGGGTCCATTTTCTGCCACCATAAAGAATATGGTGCTGGAGAGTTTAGAACACGTGACAGTGGTATCACTAGGCACTATGGTGGACCACAGTTGTATAAAAAAGAAGGGAAGTAGCTGTAGTCAAGCAGGCTACTAGCCTGGAGAGCCTACATAGAGACCTAACTGTTCTAGTCATTTGGGCCCTTGTTTCCTTTTGTTCTTAGCTGCTCTTTTTATACTGCAGGTTAAGAGTGTATCTGTAAACTTTTGGAGAAAGGTTGGGTAGCTGCCTAAAAGGTACAATATCTTAAAAGTCCATCAGGAAATCTGAGGATGGTGAAGACTGGTTACCTTTTCACCAAAGGTGAGTTTTCTTTTCTGAGACAGATGGTTTATTTTACCTTCCAAGCATCTCTGTGGTTAGGCAAAAATCATGTGATTGAGGTATGGCCAACAACAGATTTGGAGGAGAAAGATAATGTGTCTCTCCAGTCATGGCCCATGAAAGCATAATGCATATTTCAAGTTCCTTACCCTGTCAGCAACTTTGGGAGCCAGTTTTGAAAGAGTTCCACACCCCTGAGTACTGGTACTAGAGATTGAGCTTAGGGTGTTACATATACTAGGCAAATATACATCTCTACATCCTCAGGCCTCTTTTTACTTTTTGTTTAGAGACAGAGTCTTGCTATGTCGTCCAGGCTGGCACTGTACCTGCAATCCTGTGTCTTAACCTTTCAACTCAAGTAAGAAGTAAATTACTATTGTGCTAAAACAATGATCCATTGGAATATGTTGGAAGTTGTCTGCTCTCTCAACCAATAAACCTTCACTGATCCAACAAATCTATAATTTACTAATTACTGAGTCATCACTATAAAAAGCTATCAAGAATTCAAAGTCCTAATGTCCTGCTACCTTTTATTAGCTGTGTAGTATAAAAGAAAACCCACATTTTCTGTGGGAATTTTAGTTTCTCAACTTCTCATTACCATTCACAAGATAACCCCACAGGGAAAAAAAAATGAAGTACAAATGATCATTACAGTAGAGGAAGAGAAGGAAGCTGGGTAGAAAAGATCACATCAAACAGGAGAGTCAACCTACTCACCTCTATTTTAGAAATGTAGTCTCTTGGACAGACGGGGTGAGATGGGGCACAATTCCTGTTGATTACTATGTATTAAAAAGTCAAATGCACCTTTGAATTTTAGACGGTGTCTCCATAGGAAGTTCTAAGTGTGGGATTCAGTTAAACTGCTTGGATAATTAAAGGCACAGTTCGGCTTTTGCTTCCACAATATATTTGGGTAGTGCCGGCTGGAGTTACCCAGTCTTCCTACCTCGCTTCTGTGTCTAGACAGATCCCAGTATACACAACGTAAAACCATTCATTTATCAAGGGAATAGAAAAGTGAACCTAGATTTGGGCTCATGCATGGACCCACCGAGTGAGTGATCTAATTCTAGCATTTGAACCAAAATAGCTCCATAGACATTTAAGGACGGGATATTACAGTGCTCTTAGATGGTGCTCAGGCTGCAAAACTTGCTGGGAATCTGATTTGTCCCAAAGCCAGCATTTAGTGTGCAGTCATTCACAAGATTGATGCCTCAAAACATGATTTAACACTTGATCATTACCTATTTGAAGAGCTACATTAGGGATAGATGTGACTAAAATAACAGGAGAAAAGAAAAACCTGGTGGAAACTGGATGAAGTGAGGATTGCTTTTTGCTTAGGGACATGAGCTAGGGCTTAGGAAGATGGCCAGGAGTTTAGGAGGTAGAGAAGGGTTTGGTAGGTTACCGGGAGGGATGAAAGCTTTCTAGGTGGAGCTAAAACACCGAGCATGTTTTGGGAGATAAAAATGCCCGAGAATAGCCAATGAGACTGGCCGAAGCTCAGTCTGAATGGAGTCATTCAGCTAATTCATGACTTTGAAGATAACAGAGAATTCTACCTTTCATAAGTTTGTCCTTTAAGGACAGGGGAGTTGACTGGGGATGATGCAGATGTGAATGAAATAAAATATTACACACTAGGAACTGTAGTTTTGTATGTACATATTTTGTAAGTAAATTTCCACTATTCTTTTCCTGTCAGTAGACATTACTGGTGACTCAACTGTAAACAAAATATTTCTAGACATGTGGTGGCAATGATAATATCATGATTCAGAAATTTGGTGATTATTCCAGCAGCTTGACACTGAAGAAACAGCTTAGAGATCGCTGGTAAAAATCATACATGGGGTCTTTCTATAGCCATTTTGATTGCATAAGGAACCAATTAATCAATGGAGCCATCCAAATTAAGACCTGTTAATTATTGCTAGAACCATTTCATCCTACTGTCTCCAATTAACCTTTTTAAGTGAAAGAACTGATGTTGCACAAAATTCTAAAATATGCAAAGATACGTGGTTGGGAGCTGCCCAGTGTGAGTGCTGGGAACCTAACCCAGGACTTCTGCAAGAACAGCAATTGCTGTAATTGTTGAGCTGTCTCTCTAGCCACTCTTGTTTTTTTGGTTTTTCGAGACAGGGTTTCTCTGTGTAGCTTTGCGCCTTTCCTGGAACTCGCTTTGGAGACCAGGCTGGCCTC